ACTATTGTAATCAGTTTGATTTGATAGTGGATTAAGTCCTTGTTGAGAAAGGCAAATCACTTTAGGAAGGGTGGACTGGAATAGTTGTTTAAACGAACCAGGATAAAAATAATTGTGTCATTATTTTTAAAGTCTTAATCTTTCATACTTATTCAACCCCCCCCCCCCTTCTAAGTATTATCTCACCTTCAGCGAGTAGGCCATCTATGGCATCCTTCAAAATAAGTAATGTCTAACGCTCCTCAGTCTCTATCTGAGTATTTGATTAGTGTTCATAAGAAACAACATGGAATCAGAAAGGGGTGAGAAATAAATTCCATATATAAATAGTGCATAAAACAACAATGATGGTTTAATTAATATAATTAATCAATCACAATCACAACCTGAATAACAACAACAATTGTATAACATATATAATCACAAAATTAGCAACATTAACAGAGCATTGTTAAGAATTAGACAAATAATAATTTAGATAGGTTTTGCACAAACCATCTCAAGATTCAAGTTTCACATCAATGGGAAAAAAAAAAGAAAAGATAGGGGTTAAGGAATCCCCATTATCCCTCATCCGTAGACACCAATATATTAAACAATTCTCCCTACCTTGATTATTCAAAAAAATTTGAAGCTTCAACTACTTTAGCTATGAAGGCTCTCCTTTTTTACTCTCTATGCTAGAGTTTGTTATTTTCTTCTCTTAGCCTATTTTCCACCAAATCCTCTTAGCCTATTTTTCACCAAATCCTAAGTAGGATTACTCTTTTCTTCTATTTAAATAAAAATTAATTTTATTTTTTATTTTAATAATTTATACTAATTCCTTCAATTCTCACTAACTCTACTCACCTCCTTATATTTAATTAAATTCTAGTTTCTTGTCAAAAACCATAATTTTCTCGCATTCTCCAAAAATTTGAATATTAAACTGTAACGAAATTCTCCCAATCCTCATTAACTTAAATAATACTAATTAATTAAATCAAGTTCACCCCAAAAGCTCAAGTGAAAATTAAAAGTATTAGAATAAAAATCGGGGTGTTACACTCGTCAATTCTGGATATTCTGTCAACCAAAAAATGTTAGTTATATTAATGTACTATGTTGCAGACGTTGGTTAAAAGGTTGGTGGCTCCATGTACACCAATATTTGCTTGCAAAATCTATAGGCTTTGGAGCATTTCCTATTTAGGCACAACAAGTTGTGAAGGAGGTTGGTGTAAAGGTTTGCCCTGGCGAGGTTGTTGTGTAGATTTGAAGAACGCACCTTGACCAATTCTTCTTGGAGGAGTTGAATCTTGTTGCGTAAGGTCAGATGGAGATGCCACCAGAACTGAATTGTCTTCCAACAAAGGAGAGGGAGGAAGAGGCAACGCTTTGGGAAATTCGACGACTGTAATAACAACTTTTCGCTGAATGGTAGATCGAGTGACTTTAGACGTCACGATGCTCAATGAATCTTATGATATATATGTCTGAGAAGGAGATTAAAGCTTAAAAAAAGAAGATCGGTGATCTGAATCTTTAGCGGAGAAATAGTGATTTTGCGTAGAAATTAGGGAAAATCAGAAGTTGATTATTATAGACGGCACAACGAATCATTTGGGAGCTAAAAATGAAAGATGAGGAGGTGGTGGAGTTGTGTCTCACTACGATGGATCGATACTTCTGATGCGATGGAGTGGGGCGTGCCTGTAAGATTAACACTCCAACGCCTAAGTCAGTGGAAATGAAGAGTAATAAATGATCCATAATGGATTTGAATACTTGAAATAACACGTTTTACCCTTAATATCAAGAGCGGTTGAAATCGTTCGTGTGTGATGAAACATGTTACGTGGACAACTGTCTAATTTGATTGGGATGTGATTTATGAGTTAAACAGCAAAGTTGGTTGTTTTTGACTTAAGCAAAGATCTAGTTGTTATGTGTGACTTTTAACTTGAGATTCGCTCTTGGATATTTTGCCATAAATTGTTGGCATAATATATATTTACAAATTTGCCATATTTTAAACTTCAGACCTTCGAGTTCCTTTAATCATTAATTCAACTAGTACAAGTGAGTCAATCTACTCATCCCACACATTTCAAAATACAAGTGTTTGATAAAGTCTTGATAGAATAGCACTTAAAGCATGTATTAGTCTCTTCTCGGAAATTACCACCATATTGATACCATTAAATCAACTTCATATTTTTCCTAATTTCCTAAATATGGCTCTTAAAAACTAAATTTACTGACACACCGCCATCAATGAGTACTCTCCTTATAAGCTTACCTTCAATAAAAAAAAATTACATGCAAATATTTTAGATATTTTCTGTTATACTAGTTTGAAAATTAGGAGCAAGGACAAGTCAATAAAAACAGAAGACGATAATAATTTCCTTTCTATTTATCAATTTAAGGTTTGATATACATAAATCATTGTCTACTATAATACATTAAGTAATGATGTTACATACTTCGATCTACTCCATATATCTTGCCAATTTTTCAAACAAAAACAGATCAACAAGCAAAATAAACCAAGAAGCATGAAGACAAGTGTTTTTCACTACAAACAACCCTTCTGAAACTTGGCATGAGATTCAAGTTAATAAAACAATTGCATAATTCCACACCAAGTATTTCCTATAAATCCTCATTTCAAAGATACATCTAAACCACATCATATTCCACACAAAACCTATATTTTCCGAACATCATCAATTGATTAACACAAATATGGCATCAATTCAACCAAACAGCTCTCCCATAGTCATAGTAGTTGTGGTCGTCTGCGCCGGAGGCCTAGTCTTGCTTTCTCTGTTTGCTTTTGCACTATACTGCTTCTTTCAGAAGAGGAATGAGAGGACACAAGAAACCGATATCATCCACATCGATGAGCATAAAAAGGGCAAGGAAACCATTACTCCTGGTCCTTTTGGAAAACAAGCAGTCGCTATATCAGTTGAAGATGATGTGCATGTAGATGAAACAAGGAAGAATGAGACACTCGGACATGGTTCGCAAGCCAAATCATCCTCAGATATCATACGTATCGATGAGCATAAAAAGGGCAACAAAACCGTTGTTCCTGGTCCTTTTGGACAACAAGCAGTAGTTATATCAGTTGAAGATGATGTGCATGTAGATGAAGCAAGGAAGAGGGAGAAACATGCCAAATCCTCTTTAGCTGAAGCAAATCATCACAATTCTAACAGCCAATAGGTCTTGAACTTCACCTAGTCATCATTTGTTGGAAGAATTTCTGAAAATCCACATAGAAACTATTAACTTAGTACAAGGACTCCCAATAAATATGCCACTTCACCTACCTAAAGTACTATAATCATTCTTCATTCCTTTTCTGTTTTTTTTACTTTTTACTTTTGGCTGATAAACTCATCATTTGTTGAATCTCCTTCTACCAAGTTGACAAAAATAAGCTAGAATCTCCATCAACATGGCACTAAAAGCTCTGTGTATACAATAAATCTGATATAAATAAACAATACTCAATTTATATGCTAATAACTAGTATCTTTCACTTCTTGCTTTTATTTAAATGTATTCAAAGCTTGATATATATCATAAACAATCATGTCATGCGTCCTTGACAAGGATTCAAACTCATATCATCATTCATATGAAGCTAAATGTATGTATGCCGCCAATCTGACTTAAGCCAATGTGCAAAAGTTTATCGACATGAAAGTCATAAAGGTGCATAACATGGCATCCGAAGAACACGGAAGCAAATAACAGCCACAAATGGACAAACTTTAAAACCCATAAGCCAACCATCAATCAATCTCAAATGGAAATATATTGAAACACAATAAAACAGACACTGATAAATATATAGCAAATCAACGCAGCTGCAGATCTCAGCCGTTTGGATGAAGAATCAATGGCTCACACTTAAAAACCCGATTTGTTGAAGTTTATATACAATCCAGCAGCTGATAACAGACGACGGCATTGCTGCGTGATTTGCCTGAGTGCACGAAATCCAAGTACGGAAAATACACTAAATTTGAGTCCCACAATGCGATCCATGATTTTACGTGTAAACCTAGCAGGAACTAAATGACAATATAGAACCATCAATCTAACATAAATAAACAGTCCTCAATTATTTGCTAATAACTTTCATTTCTTGCAAAGCATGACCTACATTCGCAAGTATCCATGCCATTATTATCATGAATTTGAAACCGTGTATATCATCAATCTGACATAAACAGGTTCTTACTTTTATTTTAAATATAACCAAAGCTTGAACAACAACATAAATAATTGTGCCATTATAGTCCTTGAAGCCCGAAGGCTTGAAAGCAAATCAAAAGCTCATAATAACTAGATGAAGGGGAATCCGCTAACGCCATTAAACATTATGGAGAAACATGATGAAAGATAGTTCTTACCACGACAGGCTAAGGGCTAATTAATACAGTTGCATGTATTGTATTTGCAAAGAAGCCGCCTTATCCAGTTATATCAATGTGATCTATCAGACAATAAAATAATCTCTAGAGAGACAAATAACAGCACAATGCTTGACCACATTAGTTAAGAATAACAAATCTAAAAACCCAAACTACTCAACCTCTTCTTAAATAATAATGATGATAGTAACTGAACTTAGTAAAAAATGCATCAGGCCATAAACCAGCATTAATTCAAAGGCACCGAATTTCTTTATTAAATATCAGAAACAACAAACTTAAATACCCATCTAAAAAAATTCTTTTACATCACAAAAAAAACTGAACCACCAAAAACAATTCTTCTAAGAATGATTTTCATCCATAGGTTTTATTAATTCCAAGTGAATTTAACATCCCCTTTCTGTAACTAATGTATCGACATACTTGCCAGCTAACATTTAACTACAGATTGACTATTTTTATTACTCATAGAAGAGACTTCACTACTTTTCAAGGCATTCCACACCAACTCCTTTCTCGTATAAACAATGTTTTACAGCATCAGCAGCAGGCTTTTGACTATGCCGCTTTGTTAAAAAAATGTTTAACTGCAACAATTTCAGAAAGAAAGAAAAAACAAACCATAAGATTTTCAACAATTTAAAGAAAAGAAGTGACTACTGACTAGTCCGACATATTCAAACAAATTAGCTAGGATCAGTCCCACGTACCTTCAATTCCAGCAATCTTGTCATCCACTTCCTCCACTATTTTACTCTGCCCAAAATCAAAGTAACGATAGAACACAAAGCCAGCTTTCCGAAACGCTTTATCTGATGGTTGTGGATTCCTAGAGTCCTTAGAAATGCAAACAACGTTGCATTTCCCAGCAACAGATTCCTGATACGCCATACAAAAATAACAAATTCAATTAGGGTTACAAACTGATGGTCTGCTCCAATCCAAACCTAGCAATATTAAATAACTTGCTCTAGTTTATGAGATCAATATGAGCAAGCAGTGCTAGAAATAAACTTTCTAAAAATCTCTTTTCAACACCATTGCCGTATAATTGAGTAAAATTCACATGGATTCGAACTAGATCCCACTAAATGACAGTGATCCAATTCCCTGTTTAGCAACTCATTTCAAAGTGATGAGGCCCACATAAATTACCCTACAAAGGAACACTAGCAACAAACTATCTAAAAATATCTTTTCAACACTCCTCGCCATATAGTTGAGTTAAATTCATATAGATTCCGACTAAATTCTACTAAATGATGGTGACCTGATTCCCTGTTTAGTAGAACTCATTTCAAAGTGGTGGACCCCATATTAATTTTGTTTACTTTATAGAGAAATGCTAGCAACACTCTCCTAGTACAACTAGGCCAAATTCAACTGTATTCAAAATAAATTCCACTAAACAACAATTACTTAATTCCTTGTTTAGTGGCCTTCAATCCCAAGTGGTGGAGGCTATATAATTGAGTAAAATTCATATGAATTTCCACTAGGTACCACTAAATTGCATGGATCTAACCTACCAAGTGGTGCTCTTTTAAAAGTTGTTAAATTCACATAAATTTAACTTGTCAACAGAATGTCTTGCTATCATTGTTCTACTCGAATCAAAGAGAAACAAACAAAAATCAAATATTGAATTTAAAAACTGAATTACCACAGGATTGATAATGGCAGGTCCAGTGCAATCAGAATCACCACAAGCCAAGAACAATTCATTATAATAAATCTTAATCCCGGTCAAAAGGTTTGAGATCTCACAAGGACGAACGAACCGCTGAATCTTAATTTTCCGAGCCTTTTCACCAGCAGTTTCCCATATCTTTATGATTTTTCCAATAGGTGGTTCAGGTTGCGCTCCATTTTTAAGATAAACAGTATCAAAGAGCGCGTAATCAACACCATTCAAGGTGAATGATTCGTAGAACTGTATGTCTCTCTTTTTGCCTCCTTTTCCACGCTTTTTCCCCCATTTGAACTCTAACGTCTTCGGTTCTTCTAAGGGATTGTTTTGCCATGGATGAGTGAGATGTTAGAATTTCACAGTTATACCAAAATCATACAAATATGTGGTGTATTATAATATCAACAATGTTTAGTTGTTGTACCTTTGATTGTCATCCTGAGAGAGTTATATCCTCTTGACTGATGAAGTTGAAGGCAGTAAACCCTGAGTCAGGCTGCAAAGTGAAAACTATTTAACTTCAACTATATATATTCATATAAAACATGAATCTTCTATACATATAATCTGACAGATTAAAGCACATTAAACTAAGAATTTTGATACTTTCTTTCATTTGTATAAAAACAACTTGATAAACAATGAGATGCATTCTCATTATCAAGATTTTAAAAAACTCCGTGACAGTGAAAACGGCCGCGGCAAAACCGTATCAGCAGATGCCGACACCGTTATCACCGTTTTTTATATTAAAGAACAAATTGTGGTTAATTCACACAATCAATGTCGCGCATCTGTACCGACTGAAAAGACCAAAGCCTTAACAAGACCGCGACAAACCGTTTTTTAAAACCCTGCTCATGCTCATTATATAAAAGAATAATCACAATGATTTAACAAAACTTGAAACCCTATAAAAAAACAAATCAGAAAACCCTAGCAATGGAAAATAGGTCATACTGTTATGTAACTTGTGTTGGATTGGAGGTCGAACTGGGAGAGTGAGAGAGCAGGGAGTGAACGCACGGTGGTGAACGGCGAAAAACGGTGGTCAGGCAAGAAATCAGAGAAGGATTCAACAAAATAAATAGGGTTAAATGTTTTTGGTTCTTTTATATATATATATATATATATATATATATATATATATATATATATATATATATATATATATATATATATTCTAAAATCTTTGAGCAGAGTTTCTGTGAAGTTTTCTGGTCGGGAGAGTCGGTAAGCTGACGTGGCAATATCATCTCATGTCATGTTTTTCAGTGATATTTCAATTGCCCTTTAAAGTTTTAATGACGTAGTACTACTCTTTTATTCCTTTAGAGTAGGGCTGGAAATGAGTCGAGTCGAGTCGAACTCACCTCAGCTCGGCTCGACTCGTTAAGAATTGTTCGAATTCGAGTTCGAGTTCGAGTTCGACACGAACTTTTTTTTAAGCTCAAACTCGACTCGTTATAAGTTCACGAACAGTTCGGTTCGACTCGTTAGGTTCATCTCATTAGGTTCAGCTCACATGGTTCACGAACTTAAAAACTATTTTTTTAAATATATATATTTTTTAGTATATTTGACATTTTAAGTAAATATATATTTTTTAAATAAAATATTAAAATAAAATAAAAGTTATCATATTGAAATTTAACTTTATCTTCGAAATCTACTAATTCAAAACCTACACAACTTTCAAGAGATACATTTGAGAGTCTAATTCAAAAACTAATAAATTGAAGATTAAATTTGTCTAAGATTTGAAGTAAATATTTAAACCTAATCTTAAAGACAATATAATTCTTTTCATATGTAATCGAGTTGACTCATGAACCTAACGATTCGAACTATGTATAGTTCAAGTTCAGCTCATTTAGTTAACGAACTTAATTTTTCGCTCATACTCAACTCATTTGGTTCATGAACCTAGTTCAACGATTTAATTGTCGAGTCGAATTCCGAACTATCTTCGAGTTGGTTTGGTTCATTGTCAGCCCTACTTTAGAGCAACTTTAACGCGGGGTTGTTAAACCAAAATTCCTTATAGTTTACGTTAGTAATAAGGAATTTGCATTATAGTAGAGCTGACATGGCATCCAAATGAACTAAAATTTAGTTCCCATTATCTATATAGTTAACGTTAACTATTCTTCTGAAACCTATTATAATATTATTTAATATTAATAAAATATTCCAAATATTTCATTTTAAATAGTAACGGTCATATTACCATTTTTTACCTTCTATAAATTCTATAGAAACTTTAATTTTTTTTACATACAGTTTTACTTCTGAATTTTTTTCTTTCAATTTTCAATCTTATTTATTTATCAAATGGATGACAACCAATCAAATCCTTATTATAATTATATTCCTATGAAAATGTAATTTTTTTTATTAGTATTGTTGTGAATTTTGTATCATTTTTAATTTTATAATAAAATATATTTAATATTATTTTTAAGTTTTTAAGGTAAATTTTTTTAAAAAAAATATATGCATTTTAAATAAAATAATTAAATTAATGGTAACTTGAATAAAAAATATAAAATGTGGGATCAAGTCTTGGTTTCTTATAGACAACCACCATTAAAGTAAAAACTACTCAAATCAACTATAAATTTTTTAAATCCTACAAATCACTTTGGGCCCACAAAAAGTATCTTAGTTTACCCATTTAGTTTACTCCCACTAAAGACGCTCTTAGTATTTTTTAGGCAAAATAATTTTTTTTTCTTTGATTTTATTTTTAGGTCTATTTTAATCTCTTAATTTTTAAAGAGATCAATATGATATTTTAATTTTTTAAATAGCTTTATTGAAATCTTTTACGTTTATTTTGCATAAACAATATTTATTTCAGTACTCGTGAGAACTGAGTTGGCAATTAACACTCATCTTTTTTTCATTGTGAGCTCCGTCTCCTTCGAATTCGTTTTTACATCAAATCAAATTAGGAATTATGAATTGATTGATTCTGATCTAAAATTGCTCATTGAAATTGAAGGTTCCATCAACCATGAATTATTGGCGTTGTTCAAACCTGTCGAAATAAAAGAGTTATGGATGTTTTGATTATAATGTATACACAAGCTTCAATCTGCGATGGAAACTCATTTGTCGTTGTGGAGACATGGCTGTTTTTCGCAGGGCATCAACCTTTATGAATTTTGGAAAATATTTTTGGGGTTGTACACGCTTTAAGGTAAGAAAGATTTTGAAATTTATGTTCTTTGCAGTGTCAACTGATATAAACCATTTGCTTAATTTACACATGGTTCTACTAAAGCTGGGTGTGAATTTTTCGATTGGTTTTATGAGGATGCGGTAGATGAGAAAGATCAATCTATGATGAAGAAAAAAATGTAGGTTGGAGAATATAGCAACAACAAAAAAGTGATGCGGCAAAATGGAGGTTGAAAATCTTAAGGTTACAAATGAGGAACAATGGCAAGAGTTAAGGAAACTTCAAATTCAAATGAAGAAGATGGTGAACTGGAATTTTTTTTGAAAGATTATGTTTTGTATTGTTTTCTTTGTGTTGGTATTTAGGATGTTCTAAGAACATGTAATTGTACCAGTTAATCATTTTGTGTTAGGTTGCACATGTTTGTATCAACTTGTAACACTTGAACCATCTAATGTTTGTATCAATGGTTATCAGTTTGAATGGGATTAAAGGATCAGTTAGTTTTTACAAATTAAATGGTTTTTATCAGTTTGAATGGTTTACAAATTCAGTTGTTTAACAAAACACATTATACTAGTTGACACTAATTGTTTGGTTTATAACACATTATATCAGTTGAAACAATTTATCTGGTTTACATCAGTTGACACATTATACCAAAATAATTTGTGGTTTTTACCAAAGCAAAGAAAACAATGCACAATTGATTTATATTAAAACACATTACTAACATGTGTGCATACCACTAATATTTTGCATTACAACATAGATTCAAAACACATAACATATTCTGCATAAGAACATAGTTTCAAAACACATAACACATTACACAAACAAAAATATAAAATCAATTAGAAATGATAACACAAAAATATCATAACAGAAACATAACAACACAAACAGAAACATACCTTTTATTGATCTGAAATTAATGTGTATGAGAGACAATCATTTCTATCTACAAGATCATCAATAAGAAGCTCTAAAAACCATATTCAGCTATCCTTATTCTCAACCTCCACTACTGTAAAAGTTATTGGCAACACTTGATCATTGGGATCTCTACCTATGGCTACCAGAATTTTCCCTACACAAAGACCTTTTGAAAAGAAACCATCAAGGTCTATAAAATGTCTACATAATTTGAAGCTCTCCTTACATGTTGCATACAATATGTATAGCCTTCTGAAACAAGGTCATAGATTCGAAATCACAATCACACGCTCATTATGGAAACTATTTATTTAGGTCATGGGTTTGAAATCCAGCAGCAACAACAATTTATTTGGAATATAATTAACATTTCACCACGGTTACAAAAGATAATCATTGTGAAAAATACCATGATTTTATTATAAAATATGTAGATTGCTTGTTTTTCCTTACACCTCATTAAACATATACAACCATTAAAATTGATGTAAAAGATAATGATTTAAAAAATTAAATTATTCTTGAAAAACAACTTAAACGAACCACTGTTTTTCAAATTGCATTTATACCGTAATTCATCTCTTGCTTCTTAACATGTAGTATTTGATTCAATGCCCCGAGTTATTCAAAGCAACGGTTCATTCCTAATTTATTTTGCAAAGCATCAGTATGTTGACTAATTCGGTATCATTATCATCATCATTGTTTTAATTAATGATGAATATTATTATGATGGCAACAATGAAGATGATTCAATTTCTCAACAAATTTGATGTTTTGCAATATAAATCAATAGAGAATGAATATTTTCTTTGAAGAACCTAGGAAAAAATCAAGGTCTACGTGTTAAAAAGTGATATCGATGAATTACGATATGCATGCAATTCAAAAAACATGTTTGATCTAAGTTGCATTTCAAATATAACTTAATTTTCAGGTTATTGTTTTCTAAATCGCTTTAAATGAACATGTGTTTAATGAAGGGTTAGTGAAATAAACAATCTACATACATTATAATAAACTCAACAATAACATACATCAATAATAACATCATTTATCAATAACAACAACATCAACATTTATCAACAAAATAATAACAACATACATTTTATTGAAAATATTCGTGGAATGATTTGATGTTGATCTAATTTGTTTTGCCATGAAGAAAAATACAAGGCGGGTGAAGCTTCCAAAATAGCTCCATACTTCTTATATTGTTTCTCCATGGTAAAGCAACCCATTTATGAACCACACGTATAGTATGAGTTTCTCTTGAACCAGATTTTGAAATATAAACAGCTTTCGGAATGTTAA